TATGTTGTTTAAATCAGTTCAAATATCTGTTTACAACCTTTAAAAAAAAACACATTGTCCTGTCCTACCACCTGATAAGGACATTTAAAGAGGCCTTGAAGGACTGGGCATCCGTAGGCTTAAGTCTTGTCCCCCAGCCTTTCCTTTTAATGTTTCCAAAATACCTATGTCTATTGTTCCTTAAACTGACAGTACCCGAGACATTTGCGGCTGCATTGTTCAGTTGATGGCAAATTTCCTCCCCATGACAAAGGAAGTGGTGTTTGGACCAGGATGTGCACTTGATGGTTTTGGCACATTCGGTCTGGAATAAAAGAAGGATTATGACGGTGAAATTGGATTTCTTTGACCTTAAAATAGTTGGTTCAGTTGATTTCCCCCCATAATAATTGTTTTCACTATAGTGGACTCTATCTTACATAGTTTTTCTATTTCTTTGCAGAAACTTTATTTTTCATACTTGCATAAGAATGAATAACTTAATACTGCTTGAAGCATTAAAATCTTTCTAGGAAGAACATGTTAGTTACTCAGAATAATCAACCGAAACCATTTTCTTTGAAAGTACTTTATTTCTGTTTATGTAAGAAATAAAGAACTTTGAATTCTACAATTGTTTTCCTCCAAGAATGTTAACACTTTCAGATTAAAACTGGAGTTTGTTGCACGTTACATTTCAAATACAGCTATGGGTGTTCTTTGTTCGAACACAGCAAAACCACATCAGCGTTTTAAAAACATTCTTTCTACTCTTTTGCTCTTTATCGTACATCGACCCAGAGCTTGTTTAATATTCTACCATTAGATATGGCATACTTGAAACAAATGTCCATATTTCACAAAACAATCATTGTAGCCATCAACAAAGCTCAGTTAGTCTGAGCGTACTCCTCATACAAGCGGAGGTCTCTCTGGGGACACTCAAAAGACTCCAGCAGTGTTTTCCTTATGCAACAAGTTTGTTCCCTCGATGTACAGATGGCTCCTATACAGTCTCTCTGGCTGTCACATTGCATCCATCACTTAGAGAGAGGAAAGCTTGTTAAGCCCCCTCCACACCGTCACATAAACGCACACACACACACACACACACACACACACACACACACACACACACACACACACACACACACACACACACACACACACACACACACACACACACACACACACACACACACACACACAGACACACACAGACGCATCTTTTCAATTTGTGTTCACTTTTGCTGGGAAGTGTTCATGCCTAATCATCTATAATGAGTACACTCCACTCACAGACCTTTCCTTGTGCCAAGGGGGGGGACTGAGCAGGACTGAGCAGGACTGAGCAGTGATTCATTTTTTGACAGTGTTTTCTGTAGACAAAATACCTTTTTATTTTATTTTTTTTACACAATGCTGTGGAGTGTATACCCCAGAAATTGCAATAATCATCACAGCATTGGTTCAGTCTGGACCTGTTGATGGATGCTTGGCTGAAGTAATTGTGCTATTTGCCAAAGCGTGAAAACAACCATCAATTTATGGTAGTGCTGGTATTATTGGTACTCAAACTATTATTCTGCAACAGTGTCAAATTGCTGCCGCCTGTTAGGCAATTTTCTTCGTTCAAACAATTTTCTATGAAAGGAAGACTGAAGGTGTGGTTTAGCCCTGTGTAGTGGGCCTCAGTTATATGTTGTCTGTCCTATCTTGTTCCTATAGGGGTTTTCCACATAAAATATGAAGATAAACACACTGTTAGTCTTAGTCTGGATTTTCAGCTTTTGATCTATGTTATTTTATCTTTTATGCTAATGACTTCCCTGTATATTTCCTTGAATTAATTATCAATAGAGTATAAGTATACTTATAAGTACAAGTTTCTGTTTATTTTTTTTGTGTCTGGTAGCTACACTGGCTGTAAAGGTACAATGTGTAGAATTTTTACAATAACTTAATAAAAAATGGACTAAACATATGTTATCATTTTTGTTGAGTACTTACATTACTTCAAATATTTCCAACAGTTATAAAAGTCCGAGCAATCCTTAAATTTATAGTTGTAACATGACGGGTCTTGTCTCTGCGGCCGCCATGACAGTGGCATTGACAGACACAACATGTTTGTTGTTGCCATGGAAACACCGGATGTTACCCCAAAGACTGCTTCATAAGGCAGCAGGAACTTCTAGAGAAAGCTGCCGTACTGTTGCTGTATGTGCTGCTGTGTTAAAAACATCATGTAAAGTATACTTGGCTACATTAGCTCGTCTTTAAAAAAAAAAAACATATTCTCTTCCTCAGATTAGTTTCACCCGTTCTTCTTGACAAAAGTCAACTCAGAGTTCGTTTTTGGTCGGCGTGGGAGGCGTAGAGAATCATTCCCTTTGTTCCCCGACAGTCTCAACACCATCTTTTGTTATTGTTTTGATTGAGAGTCCCTTGGCTATGGAATTGACATATACTACACATTTAAAGCTTAAGTATACTCCCAACTGCTGGAGGTTACATAGCAAATGCAATTCCATCCGGAGCAATAAAATGAGCAGTGCAGGAAGAGCATATGGAAAAATACAAAAGCTACAGATGGAAAGAGCAGGAAGAAACAAGACTCATAGGAGCAGACTGCCGAACATGATCAACTGTTCAACATTTTTACGGGCTTCCTCTGATAGGGGGTGTAGGATATACGGCTGGAAACAGGAGACATATAGCAGAACATAAGTCTTGATGGAAGACACCAGAATGGGTGGTTGAAAATGACAGAGTTGAAACCATGTGGTCCCTCAAGACAAACCAACTAGAAATGTGGTAATGCACAGAAGAGAAAAGGGTCGCTGGTGGTGATGGTGACAGAAACATGAAGGAATATGAGGAGCTGGAGAAACACTATTGAAGAAAAAAAGTGTTCCCATTTGTGGAACAAACTGGATTTTTTGATTTTCCAGAACTGCAATCCAAAGTTAACACAATACAATTCCATCAGGAGGTTTGACATTTTCTGGATGGCTAATTGTCAGGGCATACCGCATTAAATTTTAGGGCTGTAAGTTTTATTTCTGTCATGAGCACGCAGCTGAAGTTGCGGAATACTTTCATGGATCTCGTCCTCTGAAGGTTCTTACCGCTTAACTGGGATCCTGGTATTGTCATGCAGGGTATTCAATGACTTCTGTCCATTCCTGTAGCTAAAGGCTTAACCTCTCTGTATGCAAATATTCTGTCACATACACGGTACATGATGCCTAACCTGAGAGATTATTGATCAGATCAGCACTTTTTGTGTGATTTCTAGATATAGTATGGGCCTAGAGGCATTTATGATGCAACAGCTAAGCAGAGTAAATGTGTACTACAGCAAAGGATTTTTTTCCTTTCATTGTGTGGCATAATCATCTGCCACTGTAGTTATATTTCAGAACATCATGATCTATGTGTAATGTGAAATGGATTGCATGTTGTGATGACACCAACAGCTCTATGGAGCATTTCTTTCAGCTTTTACTTTTGGTTCAAGGCACACAACTTTCCATAGGCTGCTTTGCAACGATCTGATGATGTAATTAAAGAAATAAAAGAGCCAGATATTCCTCTCACGATTTAAAAGGTACATGATTTCAGACGCTGACAATCTGACAAGCACTAAGTCTAAAGCGTTGTGAGTCCCTCAGGAGAGAGGTTGCTAATGTAGAACACCCATTGAATTGTTATTTAGCATTCAACCTTTCTTACTCCCGCACCTGTTGCTACATGACTGAGGTACAATGAATGCTTCTTGAACATTTTGTTCAGAAAGTCCTGAATGGTGGGAATTCATACATAATATGTTCTGTCGGTGAATAGGCCCCCTCTAACTTGTTTCATTAGAAAAAATAAACTATAGGAAGGCTTAGGGTGTTCCCACCCTTATGCTATACAAATCCAACTTTGTAATCCAATGTGTACCAGATAATGTACACATTTATAGTACAGAATGTTAATGTCAACATTATGTCTACAACAAAGAGTGTGTTTGTATAGCGCTGTGTGGATCAGTTTGTGTGTGTGTGTGTGTGTGTGCGTGCGTAAATCAGTCCATCCACCTGTCTCCCCAGCCTCGTTCTCTCTGACTGTGACCTGCATCCCAGACACCACAGTAAAGCTACCTTTGCTCCCCAGGAGACTAGACCCAGACAATTGTTTGTTTGCACTTCAGGGTACACCATGTCTCTGTTGACTCATTCTGAGTGGTTATGTGCTAACACTGTATTGATATAACACCGCAGGGCAGAACTATGTGCTTTGATCCACTTTTTGATCTGCTTGATTACCATGAGGGATCTTAAAGAGTGTGTCTAATGTGATACGTGTTTCAAGTAGAGATACAAGAGAGAGAAAAACTAGGGCTTTTCTGTTTTTTCAAGGAGTCTGCAAATATGACACATATGCAAGATTAAAAATGAAATTAGGCTTGAATTTTGAGTCCAGGCTCTTGTACATAAAGGCCTAGTTGTTGTTAACTGGTGCCTTTTTAGTTTTTATACAATATGCAAAAAAGGGATATATCAAGGAGTACAAAGGAAGAGTCATTTAAATGTCTTATTTCTTGTGAATCATTTTTCTTATTCTTGGTTTCAATGGGGACTTTTTGCACAGTTTTTCAGCAGCATAACAATAAGCGGCAATGAAGCTGCCTCAAGGCAAATTCTCCAGCTTCATATGATATAAAGGAGGGGGTTGAAGAGCTGAAAAGCTGTTGAAATACTACACATGACAGTAGGAGTGAGTATATTGTTCCCCTGCAGTAAAGGGAATCCATTCCTCTTCATTGTATTCAGTCGTATTTCACAGTACTGTTACCTTTTACCTATTACCTATTATTATGTGTTGATTACCAGCTCACAGTGCATATCTTGTTGCATGGACTCTGATCCTTTCTAAACAGGTATAAGATTTAATTCAGGTCATAGATTTGGCACACATGATTTCCACATTGTTTTGACAATGTATTCTTTTCTTCTTCACTTCCTCCGCAGCCTGGGTCGGGGCCCTCGCCATGGGTATGATCTTCTTCTGTTCTCCCGTGGTCAGCATGTTCACCGACCGCTTCGGCTGTAGGAAGACAGCAGTCAGTGGGGCGATGGTGGCTTTTTTAGGGCTACTCAGTTCATCCTTCGCAAAGTAAGCCACTGTGCAGTAAAGCTTCTCTTGTTGGCTGTCTGATGTTAAAATAAGAATATCTGTGGCGCTGGTTAAGCTCAGTGGTTAGAGCATGCACACCAAGGTCCCTCTGTCTCTTCATCTGTCCTATCAACAACATGGCCTCAAATATAAAAACTAAGCAACATCTACATGCTTACAAAGTTTGAAAAGTCCAGAAGTCCATTGTATAAACCGTTAGCTCTGTCGTTAGGGAATCATTATAAACCTCAATGTCTCCTTTAATCTTCTAGATGAAAAAAAAAAATCTCTCTGAAACATAAAATTTACTATTTCTAATCCGGTCCCTAAAATTGCAACTTTAATCCAGAATCTGTCAAAACGTATGTCCTTTTATTTTGCACAACACAGGAACAATAATAACCTCTGATTTAATCTGAAACATCTTAAATATCATCTAAATATTTTATTTATTGCATGAATTTTTAGTCTCCACCCTCTTAATGTGATCTCTTGCATTGACCTCTCAGCTCTTGACAAAAAGGAGTGTTTTCTCTCACCCAGCGGCTCTGCGACCAACCGTACATGCTCATTTGACCCAGCAAGCACTAGAAAATGTCATTTGGTGCAGGACGAGGTATAACCTATGACCACAGAGAGAGCAGCATATATAATAAAAGTTGTTATAATTTTAATAACAAATTCTGTTCCAGTTCACACAAGTAAATATTTGATATTTCACTGAAAGGTATTATTCTCAACGAGTATCTTTGCTCAAAGGAAGCTAATATCACTGAACTCAACTGAAAACTGCAGATGAAGATCTGAGCTCATGAAATTGAAATGACCAATATTATCCCTGACTATCCCTCAAACAGATCGGCCATGAATTATTATCACATTTACTTAACATGTCACACACTACATGTAGACCAAAATCTGGTATTAGTTTAGATTGTTCATTAAAGTTTGACAGGATTTTGGAAAAGCTTTCAGAACGGCAGTACGTTTGTTAAACCTCTTATTCCTTTGTTTTTCCAGATGAAAAAACATTGCTTTAGCTTTGAGACTTGAACGTAATGGTAATAGAACAAAGTATTTTGTCAGACATTCTGTCAAGCTTCAACGCAGTGGCAGTATGGCGTTCATAAATGGAGCCTCCATATCATCGTACTGAAGCTCTCAAATCCAAATTGTGACTGTAACCAAGTCTTATTGTCGCTTAAATCAGATACCTCGTCATGAAGTTAATATATGGGAAAATGTCTCAAGACTAGTTACATCACTCTAAAACCTTCTCCCTTTTTTATAAATGATTTGAAGGAAGTGATACAATATCTTCCTACTGACATCTAGGGGGAATTGAACTCTTTCGAGTAAATGAAGCGTATAAATGAACATCTTATTTCAGAACCCTTGGCCTTGATTCAGTTCATTACTGCACATTCTAAACGTTGGATGTATGATCATCTACTGCCAGAATTAGATACCACACGGAGCTCTTTGTTAACCTCAGTGTTTTTTCTACATAGCTTATCATCATGTATTACATTTGTCATTAATGAAGCTAGTTGAAAAACAAAATAACCACATCAAACATTTTTTTTTTACATTTATTTTCTGTTGCAGTTCCCTGAGCCTCCGCTATTTTACATATGGCATTCTGTTCGGCTGTGGCTCCTCCTTCGCCTTCCAGCCCTCGTTGGTCATTCTCGGTCACTACTTCCGCCAGCGCCTCGGCTTAGCCAATGGTGTGGTGACTGCGGGCGCCAGCTTGTTCTCCATGGGACTCCCAGTGTTGCTCAAAATGGTGGAACCTTGGGGCCTCAGCAGGACCTTCCAGATCCTCAGTCTCTTCATGCTTGTCCAGGCCCTGCTGGCACTGTTGTTTAAACCTTTACTGCCACCCGGAGGAGGCATGGGGCCCCCAGGCATGGGACCCGGCCCTTCAAAGGCCCTTACCCAGCCTGGTGCCTCTGCTCAGGGGGGTAGCAGGTGGAGCAGTGTCGTGAGTGAGGTCCGGAAGTACTTCAACCTACGTGTTTTTCACATCGTGACCTATCGAGTGTGGGCCTTTGGAGTAGCCACAGCTGTATTGGGCTACTTCGTGCCGTATATTCATCTGGTAAGAACAGTAATAAGCGTGCTCGTTCAAGGGATACATTGGGTTGACCAGAGATCTTATGTGTTGAAAAGAAAAATCCTAAATACTTCTGTGCTAGTTTCTTGAACATTACCAGTGAAAAACCATCCAGTCGTGTTATCATTTGATTCATGTTTTAATAGATTTTGATGGCAGATACAGTATTCTAATTGCACTTGACAGCTCTGTGTTCATCTGATTAGGACTAAACCATCACCGCATGTAGAATACATACCTCAACCTCTTTGGTATTTTTGGTATGCGACTGTGAAAATGTGGGAATCTGGACCACGTCATAGAGATTAAAGGGTTACATAACATGTGTTGGCTGTTTTTCAGTCAGAGTTGGATAATTGTTAGTCCAACATTAAATACAATTCTTCATCAGAAGTCAGAAATACACAAGTAACTTCAGGTTTCTGTCATAGCTAGACTGTCACACTGAGCTGACCAGCCCACTAGCAGCCTGCTACACAGCACAAACAGGCGTTGAACGATAATAAATACAAGTTTTCCTGCTGAAACTTGGTATGTCAGTACCAAGCTTATCTGGCCTATAAGAACAAAGAGAGGTTTTTTTTTTTTTTTGTGCTTTCTGTCTAGCTGGACAAGTGTCCACACAAACACATCGCCTGCTAACATCAATCTCCAGGCTTGGTAGTAAATTAGCTTATTAGTTGTAAAAGGTAAAGACACATGATGAGATGATGTACCTCTGACAGGGTTTGTTCTTTTTTAATAATAAAAAGAAAAAAGAAAAACATGGTTAAGAAACACACACAACTTTCATTCCCACTGGAGATGAGGATGAGATGTCAAACTCACCTCAAGCTCAAAGAACATTTACTTTTCCCTTCATGTTTATTCAATCTAAAATTCGGAGTACATATTCAAAATCTGCACATTACCTTTGGCCGAATTTGGTGTGAGATAGTGGGATAGTGAAGGAAGATGATGAAGTGTAAAGCTTCAGCTTGGAGCTGTGAAGTTGATCTCCCTCCATCCAGATGTCGGATGTTCCAGCTCCGGCCTCCCTCCGTCAGGCCTGTTGTTTCAGGCCCAGGCCCAGATGTAAACACAGCCCCGGCCTTTGTATTGGCTCGACCACCTCAGGAAACCTCTCCTGTATGGCGTCCCTGTATTCCTAAACATGCCTATCCTATGGCCATTGATGAATGTAGAGCCCTTCAAAGGAGAGAAAATATTTCACAAGCTCAGGAAAGGACTTCAGAGGGTGGTTTAATGTTTTGGATTGGGTTTTTGGGGGGTCAGGGCTGAGGGGAGTGGGAGGCTCTGGCCTATATGCGTTGGCTCTTCCTGCCCTGCTGTTCCAGAGGTCTGTGGATGAGTACATTTTGTTATTGAAAGACCTCAGCTCTTTGGACAATTTCTCCACTCCCCAAAATACACACCCACTTGTTGAGTTGATTGACATCTAAGGAATGGAGCAGAAAAACAGACCAAAAGGTTCAACAACAGGTTGTGGGAAATATTCCTAAGCATCTGGAGAGTTTCCTCTGCTGCACATTTAACCACCACACACACAGCCAGACCTCATGCTGCCATGTGTCTCTCTCTCTCTCTCTCTCTGTGTCTCAGATCAACTTTGTAAAGGAGCAGTTCAAGGGCACTGACAAGGAATGGGTGCTCCTGGTGTGTATAGGTGCTTCCTCTGGGTTGGGACGCCTTGCTTTTGGCAAGATCGGAGATCACATTCCTGGACTTAAAAAGATCTACATGCAGGTGAGAGTTGTCTAAAGGGGCACAATGTGGATAGTCAACTTGTCTTAGTAGTAATGCAAAATACATGTAGTGGTTTGACAGCTGCATTAAATAATGTTGGATTGATATGATTTTTATGCAATTCAATTAAGATTCCTGTGATTGATATAAAAAAGACATAATACACTAAGCTACTTTCCTTAGGTGACAGGTAGGTTGTGTTTCCTGAGTATCTTTTCTCATAATGGTTTTGTGCATGTGCTCTGTCTGTTCCTCCTTTCCTCAGAAACCCCACACTTTTCACACACTAAAAATGTACTTCTGTGAAGGTCAGTATATATCAGGGCCCAGTAATATCGTGACAGTGCCAACATTAAAAAAAACCTGCCTGCATAATGGTATGATGATGACACCTTGAAAAAAAAAAAGGAAACCAGTTCAGTGCAATCTGAGGAGTGAATATGAAAGAACTTGGTGGTGTTGATCCTTTTGAACACAGATGAAATAATCCATTCGCTGTGTTGGCCACAACTATCAAAAGCAATTTCCAAGTTGTATGTCAACTGTGCAATTCAGCAGTAGGAGGACACTGGTCAAGCTGAGACAGGTCAATGCTGATTTAAAAACTTTAAAACATGAATGCTAAAATATGAACATCTGTGTGGTAATAATACACACTAGACATTTGGTTTGTGCAGAGATAATGTTCATCCTGAAGAAGAGTGCCTTTACAGCATGCTGCTTAGAAACCCATTGGCACTCTAAACACATCCTTTTTCAAGAGTCTAGTTGTTTTATACAATGTGGTCATTGTTAGGGGTTTAAGGTAAGACTTTTTTTTCGCATGTTATTAAGAACCTTCCTTTACAGTTAACAATATTAAACTCATGAACTCTGGAAGCTGAAAGTTTAGATGTTTACCAACAAGCACATAGCTTCTAACAAAACACAAAGCACCAACCTTCATTCTTTGATCGGCATATGATGTGATTAGATTATACAAACAATCCTCAGCTTTATTATTTGTCCTTGGCTTACTTTTAATCCCAACATAATGCTAAATGATTGAGTTCAATTGGTAGTCTTGCCAACTCCAGCTAACAATGCTCACCTTCCTTGTGGAAACAAAAGCAACATATTTACTGTAATCAGCATTTATTGTTTGATTTGATTTTACATTTATTGCAGCTAAAAAATATCACCACTATTCATAATTCTTTTAGTAACCTAGTTCAGCTCATTGGCAGAGAACATATTTACCACAGTTTCCTCCACTTAAGCTTGCTGTCCTCACTGTAGCCTGAGGGTAAACTCTGTCACACAAAAAACATACTGTTCACAGTTAGAGACAACGGCCCAGAGGCTAGAGCTTTATGTACAAGCAAGGACAACAGGGACAGAAACAGGTAGTACATTCTCCCCTCAGTTTATTCAAAGTAGTTTAATAGGACTGAGAAAATAAACAAGAACAGGGAAGCAGTGACAGTGTAGAATCCTCCTATGTAGGATTTGTTTATAGCCAAAGCTAATTCCCAACACTAGTGCCTTAATTGAAAATGATAGTTCAAGCTGAAATCAATAAATCAGACACTGGCTACACCTCCTGCAGTTTTGGCCTTGAAAAACACAGCTGTAAAATGTATTAACAGGGCTGCCATATTATTGTATTCATTACTTACTATTCTATTCTTTAGTTATTTTTACCTGGTATGATTGCAATAGCAGCTAATAGTCAATAAATATTCAAAATCTTGACAGAAATCTAGCTGCATTTTAAATATAAACAACATATTTGAATGTCTGTTAGCTACAGCCAGACAAAAGCTACATGAGCCTTCAGCCACTTAATAGATAATAACAACAAAAGCTTATTGTACTGTTTTGCAGTATTATATTGCATTACATATACAATAGAAGAGCTTTAAGTCTTAGCAAATGTAAGATTATATAGGAGTTTTCTTGTTAGCAAACATTACATTAGCTTATTTTTTGTAAGCTATGTTAAAATTGTTATCTCTAGGAAGTGGTTGAATCCTAGCATTAGCTGTTATCTAATGGCAGCTAATGAGCTAATGGTTGTTTTATCTTAAAGTATTGTCCATTGTCCAGATACACTATCAATGGTCTTTTCAGTTTCTTATTCATCAAGAAGCTCTGAAATTATATCTTTTTATTTCACATTACACTCACAGAACTTATTATACTGTTATCCAGAAGTACAAAATTATAAAAGCCTCCAAGCTTCTTACACTGATCAGGACGTCAGATGAACATGGCAGTATTGGCATTTCTACATCAAAGTTTAAAAAATTAGTAGTCCAGTGGGTATTTTGTGGTGTTGGTTTCTTACATCTGATATGTAACAAAAAATGTTCAAAACCATGGATACCCATACTTTTGTTAAAGGTAATAGCACATATATTTGCCTCTACCTCAAAGATTGATAAAACCAGATGATACGGTATGCCATGGAATGGTGAAGAAAGCAGGCAAAGTAGCCAGCATTACTAACAGCTGTATAACTGAGTTATGTTCTATCATCCCAATTTTTTTCCCCAAATTTTCAAATCCAAATCAACAATTTGATTCTACTAAAGGTTTGTTTTATTTGGTCACCACTCTCCATGTAAAACAGTCTAAACTTCAGATGATGGGAGACAAAGGACGTTTCTAAACTATTTACACTAGTTAAGTTGCTTATTTAAATGAAACAAAACTTTGTGTCATGGAATACTTTTTTACCTCGTCTCTGTACTTTATTACTGCCAAAAGTCAAAATGCATAGATTACTATTGGCAGTTGTGGTTGTTTGACATTGAAAAAAGCAACAATGCCAATGATCCTGTGTACCTATGAACTACATCTTTTGTTGTTGTTTTCTTAGTTATCCCCAGCATCAGAAGTTACGTACCTTGTGTGTCAAGTTTTTCAAAGGGTTTTTGCTTGTTTCAGGTGGTGTCCTTCATGGCTCTGGGCCTGATGTCCATGTTGATTCCTCAGTGCACGGTGTTCGAGGGTCTGGTGGTTGTGTGTGTGTTCCTGGGGCTGTGTGACGGCTGCTTCCTCACCATGATGGCTCCCATAGCTTTTGAGCTGGTTGGGCCCATGCAGGCCTCGCAAGCCATAGGCTACCTTCTTGGACTTATGGCCCTTCCCATGACTGCAGGTCCACCCATCGCTGGTAAGAAGAATGCTCTTTTAAAAAAACCTGTTTGACATCTTTTTTATTCTGAATAATTTAGATTGAGTTAAAGTGATCTGACTTTCTGCACTGAGTTCAGGATCCAATCCAAATGTTTTTATAAAGTACAACAACAAAGGACCAAAGTGTTTTACAATCCAGTCAAGTCCAGTTCATGCATAAAGCACATTTAAAATCACTTTGACCAAAGTGCTGTAGAACCAAGAGAGAAACAATGCAATTAAAAATGAAAAGACTAAGAGCATCCACGAACAAAGATTCTGAAACACGATAAAACAAATAAGTGAATTAAACAAGAGCAAAGATTAAAAACCATAAACAGAATCATCAAGGTCAACTTGATTTGAATGCCATCGAGTAGAGATGTGTCTTCAGCAGTGACTTAAAAATCTACATCGACTTATGTGGATGGGGAGACTGTTCCAAAGTTTAGGAGCATCCCCGGCAAAGACTTGTGTGTGTGCGATAGTGTAAGAGATCATGAATATAAGAAGGTGCCCATCCATTTAAAACCTTAAAAATAAGCAATACAATCTTAAAATCTACCCTGTAGCAGACAGGAAGCCAATTAACAGCGGTTTATAGTGAGTGTGATCCTGTCACATTTGTTTCTCACAGCTAGCAAACGCACTGCAGCGTCCTGAATGAGTTAGTGACAACGGAGAGGTGATTGTTCTAAACCCACATACAAAGAATTACAGCATGGATAACGCTGGATAAGAGAGGAGAAAAAGCTAGTTTTGACCACTGACTTGATGTGCTTGTCAAATGTAAACCAACTGTCAAATATCACAACAAGGTTTCTCACACTTTGGCATTTTGGGGAAGCAAGGGGGCCAAGAATAGGTACAGAGTCATCAGAAAGCTGTGGCTGTCCAAATTGGCAGCATTGTATCCTGATATTTATTTTTAAAAGGCAGAGAAATTTGGATGTCATCAGCGAAGCGGTAAAAGGCACTAAACACAGAGACCAAAAACAACAGCACATAAAAAACGTTAAAAGGGTTCAGACTGATATAAAAAGATGGAATAAAAGCTGTCCCTCATGCCGAACCAAAAGTCAAGGAATAAAAGTGGTTCTAAGGTTTGATTTAAAAACAGACAGTGTGGGTGAGCAGAACATGTGGAGGGAGAATGATCCAGAACTTTAGCTGCTACTGAAAAGACTCGTTCTCCCATGAACTCCAACCTGACAGGATGTAGACAGTTACAGCGCACAACAAGTTGATTGATATGAGCTGTTTGAAACAGTCTCACAGAAAACATGTAGGGGAGCCAAAGCAGAGTAAAAAAAATGCAGGGCAACGGTTTAGGCTTAAAGCCAGCTGCAGGCTGTCTTTGGGGATTTTCCTTCAGGACAAACAAACTGTACACAACTCTCTTTGTGTGTTCTCTGCCCCCTCCTTCTCTCCTCAGACTTTCTCTTTTCAAGCTCTCTAATAATAGGGATGTATACGAAAGAATTGAAGGCAGGACATTAATAATGACTCAGGCGTCCTCAGGCTTTCAGTCTTTGCCAACCTCTTTTAGATCTCGCACATACTTGGACTGCTTTTTACCACATAACACCCCATCTGTGGCTGCAGCTCAGAAACTTGCTGATCCCCGATGTTGTCATAAACTGCATGAAGTATTTCTCCAGACAAACATTTCTCAATCTGTTGAATTCATAGGTTGTTCTTTTTTACAACTAAATCCCTTTTTCAAAATGCTTAATACTGTTTCAATGCAATTCATATCTGTGAAACGTCACCTCTCAGAGGAGTAACGGCATCGTGCATGCAGGATGACACTTTTAACAATGTCTGTCTGTCTGTCTGTCTGTCTGTCTGTCTGTCTGTCTGTCTGTCTGTCTGTCTTTCTGTCTGTCTGTCTATAATTTATGTGTAGGCAATTATAATACCAAGCATATATCTAATTTCTACCTAAAACAGTAGATATTTGATCAAATGTTTACATTTAATTAAATTAAGGCCATTTATATACATCAAAAACAAAGGCAGCAAGGCTCCTCAAAGTCTGAATGGGATTATCACTGGGTCAACATGTGTACAGTACAGTACAGTCTGTACAGTCCCTGAGCAAGAATGCATATGTTACAACAATGTAAGCACACACCCCTCCCACTCCTCTTGTGTCACAAGCACGGCGGTAGATTAAATATTCAGAGCAGTGTGTTGAACTTGTCGACCCTGCTTTGTCACAGTGATACAGTTTGTTTGCTTCAGCTCACATGCAGTTAAATATAGGTTGTGCCTATACGTACCACAGACAAGGTGGGCCTTTTGTGACGTATTGTATCACAATAGCATACTTCCTTTTTTTACGGGAGGGAGGAGTTGGCACAAATTTGTATGGAATTGAAATTTTCAATTGAATATAATGGGGATTTATATTATACTCAAACACAATGAAGTACACTTCTAAACAGCTGAAACTTAGTGAGAGGTTACTCGTAACAACTAGAGATTATAAAACATTTTTTAAGCTGATGTTTCAGAGAAGAGGGTAACATTTTTAGACAATTTGCCTATTTGCTTTTTCTTATAGTGTTCAATTAGACTATCTACACCTGTCTTGCTTTTACGTTTTTAAGTGGGGAACCAGGACAGAATTAGCCTAGCTTAGCATTTAAGATCGCTTTGTTATCACCAATTTAAGTTTGGTAAGATTGTGTCTGTTCAGACACCTACGGCTGCTGCTGCATCGAGTACGATGTGGTATTAGAGAACTTTAGTGGTGCAGATTGAGGTATTTTAGATTTTTTTTAAAGAGATTAGCAGTATTTATTCAAAATTCTTCCAGGGTTAAAGCTATGCTAGGCTAATTGCCACCTAGCTCCAGTTGTACCAACACAAACATGATCTTCTGAACTGTGTCCCTCTATTTTCACCGCCCAGGTCTCCTCCATGATTACTTTGGGAACTACACGGTGGCCTTCTCCCTGGCCGGGGTGCCTCCTATAGTAGGGGGTGTAGTGCTGTTTTTTGTCCCACTGATACATCGAAAGCTCCAGAGAGGCCAGGCGGCAGGGGCATCAGAGGAAACGTCCACAACCGCCCACATGTTGCCAACCGCCCACCCAGCAGAGGAGTCAAAGGGCTGCTCCAATGGAGTCATCCTGCCTGGCTACACTGACGTTGAGACACACATCTGAGTGGCAATGTACAAAGGTGAAATATACTGACATCAACCAAGTGCATATCTAGCATATATTTTCTTGTATTTTACCTTACTCTGTTTTCTTTTGTCTTCAGGGATTCAGCCCACCAGCACCTTTTCTCATCCTTAATTTGACCTCCTCCCAAACATGAACTTCCTGTTGGCTGACCTCTAACCCTCTAACCCTGCTGGACTCTCACAGCCTGTTTCTTATTTTCATGTGGAGAGGAATCAAAAAAAAAAAAAGGGGGGGCACTCTGCCAGCCACAGAGAGGAAGAAGAGAAGGCACTTCAGAGTAGGACCATGGACATGTGATTGGAGGAAAAGCATGACACAGTCTCACCTTGGATTGTTTCATGAGTGGGGACTCTGTAGTAACATAAACCTCCAAGAGGAAAGAAATGAAGTGATTGGATCAAGAGCGGTAGTTTGTGATTTCTCAGCTTTGATCTTGCTACCATAGCTTTTTGAAGCGTTAAAAACTGTGCTTTATTTTTAGATTTAACACAGACACATTAAGACAAGACGCATATAAACATAAGAATTAATGAAGGGATACATTCACAGTTTATGTAGAAGTATTTGCATCTAATTTGCTAACACATGCGTTCGATTTAGTTTCAGAAATAGGAAGACAATTTCATCTCGAGTGATTTTCATGTATTTCATACCACTTCTTTTCTACTGCGGTGACTACAAGAGTAACATTTTTTTCTTAAATGTCACAGGACAGTGGATTCTTCTGAGAGATCAGCCACCAGACACGATCACCTCGAATCAACCGCACACTGTAACACACAGTCCTCACACCACCCAGGCTCCAAAAACCTCACCAAATGTTACACGCTACCAGCCTGCCTGCCAGGGATTCATATGCCATAAACCCCAGAGTTTTAGATATCTCCAATGAATATATAGGTCATTGACCTTTCGGCTTATTACAGGTTAAAGTATGCACTCAAAGTAAACACGGCAGAGTTATGAGAGCTGCCTGAGTTAATGAAACGAAACACTACAGTTGATACCAGGTCTTGTCTACTCAGCCTTTGCAGCCTTAAATTTTCAGTGTTTGTTTCCCAATCGTCACACTACACACTTTTTACTGGACTTTAAAGGTTTTAGCAGGGTGCTAGTCAAATCTGAGTAAAATGTGTTTGTTATAATCTGTTGTAATGTGAACACTGTGTACTCTTCGGAGCAGAAATCTTGCTATTGTAGAGTTTGAAAGTCGACAGCTATTGGTAGTGAATATTTTCATCATCTTCAGAAAAGGCATTTAGTGAACTTTTCCTCTCTTTGAATGTGAGATTGTGAATGGCTTACGTGCAGCACCTGCTTTTTTTTTTTTTTTACTGTGGCGGTGTTTAGGCATCTATGTTACAATCTGTTCATAACAACTAATGAAGCTGCCAAATGGCTTGAGCCCTCATCAGGCCGTGTCACAGATAATCACATGAAGTTGCTGCTTTGGTTTGTGTTCTGAGGGCGTCACTCACTGTGTTGGCAGTAATGAAACGAAACGTCTTAGCTTTATTGAGATGTTTTGTTTTGGGAGGACTGTTTGCTGTTATTTTTGTTACATGATTGCTTGGACCATGCCGTTTGCACTCTAACATTACAAGTTCTCTTTTTTGACAGTTAGTTTTTATGAACGGATGTGAAGCAGAGCTGCAATAATTGAGTGTTTGACTCACTGGTTAAGTGCATAGCTGAATAGCAGCAAGGGGGGAACTTAAGGAAGGAGATGTTTAGGTGTTTTTCTTTCTGTCTGTCCCCATCTTTGCTCTCACTGTCATGATTCAATGGGCTTATGTGTTAAAATGCTAAAGAGCTAAAAAGCTACACAAACCTCACTGCTGAGTGTAGCTTTTTTTTTTGTGGGGGTATTACTATAGGACAAACTCTTCTGGATAGGAAACATACACCGATACCTCAGTGATCAAACAATCCTCAGCAATCCAGTCGAACACGTTGACATTCTGCATTACTCTAGAGTGTGTGTTGTGTAGGTGTAATCTCAATCAGGTCTCAGAGCCACAAAGCTGCCAAACGCCAGGTTACAATCAACCTGGCCTCCTCAGAAACCTCATTAGTGTAGTGTCTGTTTGGTGCCACCATTTTTTTAAATGTCAGACTTCCGTTCCTCATACTTCAACAGTTGGTGCGTTATCAGTTTAGAGAGTCAACTCTTCCTCCTTGTTTTGCCTTCCACCCTACTGCTTCTTTCTTCTTGAGCCACACCATTACTCGCAGCCTCATATTTCACTCTGTGATCGAAGTCATCCAGTTATATTCATGTGGAATACCCTTAAAAGAAATACAATTGAATATAATACATATAAAGATACAATGGTTACAACATAGGTCTCTAGTTTGACTGAGGTAGTGTTACATTTTATTGGCAATGCAAACGCAAATGATTACGTAAGGTTGTAGTTCATTAGCTGCTGGAGTTGTCCGTGAACCATGAATGTAAGCTAGCAAGCATTCTAAATCAATTCTTTTTGATCAATCAAAGAAATCAAGAAGTCCTTTAAAATACACTAACATTTGTTTTCATTGCTGAACAAATTATTTTTATTCTGAGTGATTCAACAGAAGAGACTTGCTTATACCTAATTTCCAGTTATTCTGAGAGAATCCATCCACAATATAACATTTGTCATTTAAAATGTTTGGAATATTATTATTTTTTTTTTTTTTTTTTTTTTTATTTGCACTACTTTACTGCTGTCAAACTAGTGGCCTGTGGCACTAAAGTCTAACAATTTGGAAAAATTTAATGAAAATGACAACAGAGAGCTTTCTGTCTGGCAGACATATTGGATGACCTCAGCCTTTTGCTTTGCAAAATGCTGAATGCGTTTCCATGCACAAATGTATCCGTCTCAACAAAATGTACTAGAAAAGTTTAGTTTTTTACGTTTTTTTTTTTTTATTTGATTGTGAACTTAAATGTGTTTTTTTTCCCCAACGTGTATGTGTTGAAATGTGTTAGCCAGCAGATTGAACGTCAGGTTGTCCTGTATGACAAAATTTTAATTGGAGGCATGACTTTAAAAAAGACATTTGAGTCTAAGCAGTAACCTCAGTTTAAAACAAATCTGCCTTACAGTTACTGGACATAACATGTATATTGATTTTGTCAGATTTGAACGTGACTTTTCACACATTGTATTTCTTTGTTGTTATCTGTTAAGTCATTTTCAGTCCTAGATCCATCTCAAAAGCTTCCTCACCTAATTTCTTACTCGCCCAGTTTCTGGTTAGAACCAGCTGAGTGCTCAGTTTTATAAAAAAAAAAAAGTCAACATTATGTACTACTGATATACTTTGTAATGGTTTTTAACCAACCTGAAACTGTTTTATTTTGTATTGTTTTACTGTGTTCATGTTTTAAATCATAGATTTTCATTAGTTTTAAGTGTGTCCTTAGTGATACATTTCAATTAGTGGAAATAAAAAAAGGCAGCCAAGCTGGTTCATTTGTTCAGATTTTAAAACATATATTAAAGTGAAGGAGCTGCATGAATGAATAATGACATATTACATCTGGATGTAAGTGTTTGGCTTTTCATCTATGCAGCATTAAGGGGCTCACGGTCTACTTGACCGCTTCACTCCTTAAAATCAGAGCAAACTTTAAACGATGAATGTTTACTCAAGTTCACATTTATCTCTTCTGGTTCTGTTTAACAGTCGAACCTAAATTGAGCCCCTTACCAAAACTTCAACTACTACATGTTACAATCATTTACTCAAACAGCTTGTTACTTAAATCATTAAGACTTTTTTTTAAATCGTAAGACAGTTTAGAGTTGTTTACCTCTAAACTGTCAGTCACACTAGTGAAAACAGTACATTTCTCTCCAGGTATTTGTTTTTGTAATCTTCTGATGCTTTCCTGTGTCACACAGTGAGCAGACCAGAGCTACAGAGATGCACAGTTGGAACATAATTAGGGACAGGCTTGTTTGAAACCTTGTCTTACTCATGTTTTGTTAGCAGGCACTATTTGATCTCTCTGATGTTACATACCAAATTTAGTGCTTGACACATCAATTTTAATCAAAGATCAACATGATTATACTGCCTGATTAACTATTAATGTGCCGTTTTAACTTTCTTTTAAAAATCTGATTTATTTAACTTGGCCTATTCTTTTCTCATTTGCTGCTGTTATCTTTCAGTCAGCCGTCAGTAATTAGAGCTTGGACTGACCTCATTACACTTTTCCTGTGGCAGAAAAACCACCTGACTTGAAGTCAGGCCAAACCACTGCAACATAAAACCTCTCTGCTGTATGTTATTTCTCTGCTCCTATGACCTCAATCTGTTTAAACCGGCCTTCTTTTTCTCAGCCATACAAACAATATTTGAGACCAGGTAGCTGAAGATCTATGCATCAAGAGACTGAGCTGTGATTTTGAAAAAAAAAAAAGAAGTCATAATGCAATGATCGACTTTCAGTTTAAAGCTTTCTCTGCTGTTTCCAGATCCAGTTATCCTTTTAAACCAATGTATAGACCTTTATAATGCTCCACTTGTTTTTAAAGCGTTATATTAATCATGCAGATTTTTCATTGGCTTTACTGTAGCCCTCCTGTTTTCACAGCCATAACTGCTCCAGAGTCTCTGTTGATAAGATCTCATTTATGTTTCCATATGGCCCCAGGGCAACTCTTGGCCCGGGCCTTCCCACAGCCTTAAATGTTCATATAAGAGTTAAGACTTCAGTGCTGGGCTCTGCTAAACTTTCCTGCCGCAGTTAAACCTCTATGACCTGTCTGTTCAGCCTCTCCTCCCTACACACACTATACCTGTTTCTTTTTATATACATAAATACATATTTCTGTTTTCTGTATTTTTGTCATTTTACAAAATGTTCTAACAAGGCCAGTGACGCCACATGATCTGAAATTAAGTCATGCTGCTAGAAGAATTAATGTAATTTTGTGTTCTGTCAATTTCATTTTGAATCTGTAACAAAAGAGGCACATTTTTTCTATTAAACCAACAAATAAAGTCATAACATGAAAACAACCCATGCTGTTGCTCTTTTGTCGGCTCTGTGCTTTCAGCCCTTTAACAGAGCCGCTTCCACATGAGACGCGGCGGGCTAAGGTGTTCTTGACATGCAATCATGTGTGAGATTAACCCCCAGACACCTTTGAAAGCATGACGACTTGGCGAGTCGAAGGAGAAACAAAATACTGTGTGTGAACTTTTGAGGACGAGATGAATGGGTCCTCGGCTGTTTGATGTGCTCATTATCACCACAGCAACCTGGCAGAGTTTATTCAGGCATCCAGTCCTCCTCTGACTCCTCAGTTCTCCCTGTTTCACCTCAATATCTCACATTGAACATTTATGATCACACTTTACTGAATTAGTTACAGGCAGCAGAGGCCTTTATGTACATACAGGGAACGGTTGTGTTCATGACACGGGGTGATGAATACAGTTCTTGCTGAACCTGGTCTTGTGCCTGGGGACATCTTTAAGATGAAGAAGCCTTTATACATTCAGAATGTATCCTACACTTGGGCAAATATCTTAAATATCTTAACTAAATAAGAAGCAGAAGTAGCAGACATTTGCACCACTTTTGACAATACAATTTTTGTTTGGAAATATGAGGTCCACTTGCGTCAATTTTAAATGAGCATAAAGGCCTTTACTATTTAGTCAACCACTTTATTTGGATTTTTTTTACAATGTAATTAAGCCTCTGCATGGTTCAGCTTTAGTGGGTTTCTCATTCACCAAATCCACCTCAGGTGATCTTAAAATGGGATAAAATATCCCCTGGGAACTTCATCAGAAAAATGATATAGATGCTGTAGAGCTGCTGTAGAGCATTAAATTGATTGGTACAGAATGTTCAAATCTCGACTGAAGCCACTTTTGGGTAGATTCGTGAGTGTGCCTCCAGGTGTCTCCACAATAACTCATGTAACACAGTATATTGTCCAGCAGAGGTCCCCCACACTTCATTTCTCAGAGCTAAACATATTGAAAATTCAGTGTGAGTGCACTGTATGTCTGTATGTCTGACTTTTCTTTAAGCTGGAGAAGGAGGCATCAATAAAACAGAATGTCTACAATCAGTAATTACACAAGGTGCCTTTGATTTGACCTTTTATTACACAGAAGAGATTTTGAGAGTTTAAAATAATCAGAAATTACAGAAATTGTATAAAAAGATAATAAAAATATGCTCTCATCATACATTTTTCCTACCTTGGTTTAGGCTAGGCTGATCAATTTCTTTAATTTTCAGGTACTTGTTAAAGCCTTTTGTTCAGGGCAAAGGATCAAAGAAAATACTACAGTTACAATAACATTTTTTTCACTTACAATATCTTCACACAAGCTCATTTTGAACCTCAAAGTCACCAATGTTTAGCTGTGTCTTTAATATGATGATTACTTCAAAAATAGCAATGTCACTTCAATGTCATTCCCAATTGTTAAACCAGTTAGTCACTGAGTCACATGATAAATCTTTATTTCTCACTTTTTTTATATCATAATTTAGATTTGTAGGTGTGATTAAATACATGACTAGGGTTATTAATAATTTAAGGATTCCTTGTGTATGTTTACGACAAACAAATATTTTCAGTGTATGAAATATTACTTTATTGGGTTTTTAAGGGTCATCATTAGAAACTTTGGGGTCAACCATTCAAACAGTACACACACATACACACACACACACACACACACACACACACACACACACACACAGAGCTAAGTAAGAAGTTCCTGAGAGCTTGTAAATATTTACAAGAAAATTAAATAAGATGGATTTGAAGAATGCTGACTCACATTATGAATACTGCCACACTTGGACAATAGAACTTTCTGTTTTTAATGAGTAACAGATAACGCCAGTTGTGACTCTCATGCATCAGAGTCGAGGTCAAACATCAAAGTGATAAAGTGTTCAATTTAAAGTTTAACTTTAAAAAAACAAAACACTATTAAACCAACCAAATATATATTTTGTGTTCAATATGATGAAAGATCAAAGTTTGTATCACAGTGAGGTGTTTGTTCTAATGTCTCCTGTGGTGTTGTCCGTCTGTTTGAGTTGTGTTATAAATGCCACAAGAAAAAAAAAAGAAGAAAAGGGCAGAATATGTCTACTTCTAGTTTGTGATTTTGTTAAGCGATGAGTCCCTGGGCCTTAGAAAGGAAGTGTTGAAAGAAAAGATGATACAACTGTGGTCTTTTTTTTACTGTTGTGTCAAACTGCTTACTGAGAAATAGACCTTTTTACACTGTTGCAAGGCTCTTAAGGGGAAGTGTGGTAGTAGTTAAATATGATCTCATAGAACGTAAAGGCCACTGAGCTGAGTGTTATAATGAGGTATTACACGGTGGATCACTTGATGGTAGTCTGATGTCATTGTGACAAGTCTGATGAAATAAATAGGTTGAATAAATACAAAGAATATAATCAACACAACCATTAAGTATGCACTGAGGAGGATTAGGACTACTGAACTTTTTTTTTTTTTTAGTTCTGACCTTATTTCATGAGTATCTTAACAAAATACCTGAAATAAGGTTGTCTTTGTAAAAAAAACTAAATAAAAATCTAACAAACTACAGAAAACAGATAACACTCAAAACTAGCTTATTCCACAAAACAAAACAAAAACGAGAAGCCAATCTAAATAAAAGTCAAAAACTAACAAGCAAAATACAGCTATGCGAGAATAGTAGGGCCTTAATCAAAAACATCCTCCTTCCACCGAAGGAGTACACTACATTTGCTCAATGTCACACACACATGCACACACAAGAACACTTCAGCATGTCACAGTGTTATCAACCTTTTGTTGGGTTGTTTTAAGAAGATATGTAAGAGTTCCCATAATTTTCATAATCCCTCTTTATCAACTGAAAAGTTGTTTTCAGTTTTTAATAATCTTGATGATGAAAGCCAAGATGACATTTTCTCATGCACAACCATGTTGAGATCTTTCTTCTTGATAGTGTTGGGAACATTCGACTTCTGGTCATTTGAAAACTTAAAGAAGAATCGAACATTTTCTTTTTAAGCTGTTGTGGTTGATTGCAAATTTTAGCTGGTTTACCCCAAATATGCATTACATCATTTACTTACCGGTAGTTGACTTCCAGTTTGAAGAGGTCAAAAAGCTCATGCAACACTTAGTAGTACAAAGATCAACTTTATTAACAAAGTAGACCCTTCTTGACTTCCAGTTTGGACAGAAAGTCTTTAAGACAATCTAATTTGCTCCTTTTTCGAAAATCTTTTTACAATGGTTACTGCCAACCTTTTGTTTTAACTTTCACATGAACAAGTGTTGTTTTAATAAACAGGATCAGATTTGTTGGCTGAAGCCTGTCAAAAACAACTTTAATGATCCATTCAATGGTTCGATTGTACCATTTGTGACCTATGTGTTTGGTAACCACAACATGGATAATTTTCTCAGCCTTTTTTTCCAAGAGCAAACTGAAACCAGAGGCTGCCTTCAATGTAAAATTAGGAGTTAATCATAACTATATATATATATATATCAGTGTTCTAGCTGGTTTTTTCACTCGATTGCCTTGTCTTTCCCCCTCACATGCTGTACAAACACAATCCCAGCAGCTGACAGAGAATCAAACCAGGGCAGCAGGTTGCAGCCTGCGCTCACCTCTGTTTCTTTTGGGTGACATTATGTTTATTAGCTACTATTGAGTTGTATTCAGGTGTCTGCTGCTGAGATTATGGATGGTGTGTTATTGTTTTCAGAGGGATGAAGTGTGACAGCCAAGGCACGTCCTGTCCGATATTATTGTCCTCCGAATGAAACACACATCCTCGCCTGGAAACTTCCTCCACTGATAAAGATTTGATAACACTTGGTTAGACACACAAGAGTGCTGCTCATGTGATTCACACGGTCAGAACCAAAGTATACATCTCAGACACAAGTAAAGACACACACCTTGATGTTCTTTTGCCCTCATCATTTCATCTGGAACGTACTTGTTTTTTGCTTGGTTCAAACAGACTGCTTAGTTTGACTTGTAACTGAACGTTGTTGCAGCCGAGTGGTTCATTGTTTCTGCAGGGATGGCCTGCTGGAGGTGGATAAGCCAGAATAACAGTTCAGGAACATTTTGGACTGAAGACAGATGGGAAGAAGAAAGAACACAGAGATAATGTGTTGGAAAGAGGGGCGTAACAAAAGCAAAGAGAGAAGGCTCTTTGTCTTTTCCTCCCATGGAAAGGCCCTCTGGTTTGTTCATGTTTATAACTGAACCTAAACCTGAATTTGGTAAGGAGTTTTAAAAGCACTTGATTCTTGGACATTGGCTTAAAACTAAAATCAAAGTGAGTTATTTTTTCAATTTAAAACATTTGACATTATTGACGTTGAAATAAAGACCAGTGACATCCTTTGAGATTCATTGTTTATATAAAAGCTTATAAAGCAGAAAAATACATTAATATACACTTTTCCAACAATATACATCAACCCTTCAAACTTTATACATCAATCTGAGTCTGTAATATTTACACACGGGTACACTTTCTATAGTAAACACTCTTTACAGTAAAGGAAATACTGTGTCGCTCAGCTGCATTCAAACACTGTGGCCCTGTTGAAACTCTTAAACCTACAATATTCTTTTGAACCAAAATGAACCCCTTCTATCCTTTTGAACATTACATCGAACAAAAAGCTTTGCTTCATAAAGACAATATTCATTTTAACAACATTTTTACTGCTTAAAAGTCACAAAGAACATGTTATTAAAAAAAGTCAACAGAGTGGCTACAAGACACTCTTCATTAAAGGTCACATTAAATATGGAAATATTAGTTAGTGCTCTACATGACATATATATGTATTTCTTTTTTTGCCAGTCACAACTACAAAAAGCCAAGTGTGTCAGAGTCACTGCTGTGTGTCACAGCCCAGCAACTCGAGGCGCAGGGCGATGCCATTGATCCAGCCCCGGGGGTGGATACGGAGATATTGGCCGAACAGAGCCGGTTCAAATAC